TCTGTCCTGTTGAGTATGTTTTTCTTTCTCTTGAATTAAGAACACTGAAACCAGGTTCCTGGAACAGATGAATCAGATTTACATTATTTGATGCTTTTCAATTTACGCATACAGCAACATGCTGTTTATACATTCAGAATATGTACCACGTCTCCAGTCAATTATCTTTGCTACCTGTTTTTTCACTTGCGTCAAACGCTCAGAACCAGAATACCTCAGAAATATTGCTGTTGTATATGTATACTAAATTTTAAAAAATAAATTTCTTGCATAAAGTTTCATTATAAAAAATGACCTCTTTGGCCTTTTAGTTGCAACTAATATTTACAGCAGCTAAGTCCCAAAGCAGTTTAAATCCCTAAAGCAGTCTTTAGCTGATATTGTATAGATACATTCTTACAGTGAAGCTGGTAAGTAAAAGCATGGTTGTCGGTAATTAACAAGCAATGTATAATATAGATAGTTCTAGATGTTTATGGAAATTATATACTATTATTGTATTATGTGAATAAGTAGGAGTACATAATTATCCCTCTAGTTACAGGAAAGACTAATTTAATTTTAATAGGAGGTGGATTTAACTTTAAATGATGCAATGTCCATGAAAAACCATAGAACTAATGTGTTGAAATATCGAGGATTTTTTTTTTTCACTTCAGCAATAATTATGAAGGATATATTTCAGGATACATAAGTGAGTACATGGCTACACGCTTAGTGAAATTCATTACTTCAGTGGTAATAGTTGATTCTTCAAGGGCATTCACCTTTTAAATACAAGTTGAATTGAGGTTTGCAGTTTCTAGTTGATCTGTGATGGGCAGACCCATGTATCTGCAACCCACACAGTGCCACTTCTGGTGCCCCAGTTACAGCTGCCTTGGGCTTTCCACTGTGCAGATAATTTGCAACTCTAAGCAGAAACATGAACTTCTTTGCCACGGTTCACTGGCAATTTTATTATTATATTTATACAGCAAGCAGGCTGACGACTCAAACTCCCACGGAAAGTGGCAGGGTACAGATCTGCAGGTGTCTTTGAAGAAACAGCTTTGGCAAATTATAACAGAGATTTTTGTCTTGTAGTAGCTAATTCAAATAACAATAAGGCATGAAGAAAAACTTATGCACCCACATGGGCAAAGCATGATCAGATTTCATATAGTGTGCAAGATTTAAAAAAACGCATTATCCTCATGCATGTTATCAAATCTCCGAAGTGTGAAATGAACTTAGTCTCCATAAAACATTTACATCTGCACTAATTCTTCTCTGAAATGTAACTTTCTTGAGCTGCAACATCGTTCAATCTCCTGTTCTTGCTTGCAGTAATTTTTAATCCTATGACAAACCTCACCATTCAGAGGTTATGAGACAAGTTCAGGACAACAACCATGACATCTATAAGAAGTTTTTCTTAGGTTCTCCTTTTTAGGGTTTAGGGCCCTCTTTTTTAATCTTTTCTTTGCAACAAGAAACCAAACTTATGAAAATTCCCCCATGAACTCTAAAACTCCACAGTTACTCATCATGGAATTTTTTGAAGTGTGACTTTTATATAAAATACTGATCATGACTAGAACCAAAGGAAAAGCATTAGCTTGAAATATGCACACTGTTTTTGGGACCAAAGAATTGTTAACCAAACATGAACCTAAAATGGTAGCACTGGCTAGTTATTTTAGTGAGTTTTTCTACAAAAACTTGCTTAGTAAATAAGTTATTTGTATTTGATAGTCTTTCTAAATCAGAGAGATCTTCCACAGTTATTGCTGGAATACCTGTATGAGGCAGGACATATTGTAATTTACATGGGTATCTGGAAATAGTAGTAGTGGGGTCACTTGCTCTTTGATTACACAGGTATGATAGATAAGAGTACCCACCTCTACTTGGCTCATACCAAACTTTCTGAAGTGGACGAGGATGTATTAGAAACCATGGTTTATGCAAACCCGTTTTTCAGGCAGACCCCTACACCGTTTAATTTCCATGTGTGAAATTGAATGTAACATTCCTATGGTAATGGATCCTGGTTTGGAAAATTTGTCTTCTGATATCACTGTGCTTGCAAATAATCAAAAACTGTAAGGGAGCTGTAACTGAGAAGAGATTCAATAGAAGAAAAGTGAAGAAACAGATGGATTTGTGAATGAGGTAATAGGAGAACAGGAGTTGGGGCATTGGCTTCTACTATTTTGTTAACCATGTACTGTCAATATAAACATGAACTCATCAGCTTTTCAGTACTTGAGAAAAACTTCCCTGCTTACTGAAAGTGGATAAGGAGAATTAGCTCATGAATGACCTTTGAAATGTTTAGAAAACTTTCAACTTAATTAATTATTTCTTTATATTACAAAGATATAACCATAACACTGCTCTTCAGTTAAACATTTTTAATGTTGTCTTAATGTCAAGGTGATAAAGTCTTAAATGAAGAGGGTTAATTCACCTTTATCTGATTTCCTCTCCAAACTGAGAAAAGTACACAAAACATACTATAGAAAGTTCTTTTTGTCCTTTGGACAATTTTAATGATAAACAAAATGTCCTTTTTCATGCACAAGGAAAATGTGAGTTCCTCTTCAGGGACTGTCAGGGGAGTTTAGATGACAAGCTGCGATGCAGTATTCTGCAATCTCACTAATACTTTCCATGCTGGAGGTGAGATTAGAATTCAGAATTTCTGATGCATCTCTGAATGCAACTCCCTTTTGAGTCAGATACTGAATTTTCAACAAAAGATGAGGACAGAACTGTATTAGCACAGAAAGCTAATGAAGAATGGATTGGATTATTTTTTCACCGTCCTATCATTTTGCTAATTACACATACAATTTGTGTATATGCTCTGTTATTTTATACTTTGAAAGGCCAAAAACTGCAATAGCAGCATTCCCTGTTAAAACCTTTTTCTGCAACGTTCTTTGGAGGTGTCAGATAGTCCCCTTTAGTTACATGCTAAATTCTTCAGAAGGCATCTGCACCAGACTGACAACACATTGGTGAAAAAAAGAGAACTATTGTATAAAACTATAAAAAGAGAACTATTCTATAAAAGAGAACTGTTTCTATTCCAACTTCTCAATACAGATCTACAGCTTATTTTTATTTTTTCTACATATTTCCTCTGTTTAAAAAATAGAAATGGGCTTGAAGGGTTTTATTACAAAAAAATTAATTTCTGATAACTCTCTCAAAAGAATTCTCATATGATTTTTGATAAAAACTGAGTTATTTTTGTAAAACACCAGTAGTATTGAATAATTTTTGGAAGAATATTTTTCAATGAAAAATGTGTCTTGAGAAGTATACCAAGCTGTTCTTTATACTTTGTGCACAGAGATATGTTGCATCCAAACAATAAAAATAAATTTTAAAGTTATCATAACAGCAATTGTCTGCCTTTAGCCAAATATTTTCACAGATTGCAAGCTGTTGGGATAGTTACTTGTACGTGGCACTCACTCTTGCTCATGGAGACATACAAAAGCCAGGTCAGACGCTGCTGATGGAGAGGCCCTGGTGCGTCCACAACTCACTGGAGGCTGCAGCACTCCAGGGAGGCAGCAGCTTGTTCAGCCGGGTCAGGCTGAGCTGGTGGTGCCTGGGCTGTGCCGGCCGCTGGCCGGGAGCTGGGCTCAGACGGTCAGCACGCCGGCAGCCTGGCTGCGTGTTTGGGCTCGGGGGATCTTGAGGAAAGGCCTGCTTTTTTGCAGCTTGGCAGTGGAAAGTCCTCTGCTGGTAATTAAAGTAGATGAATAGAAAAGGAAAAGCTGGAGCGCATCAAACTTGCATAACCCATTTGAATCTCTTCTAGCTAGTTATTCCCAGATAGCTGCAGCTAAGCTATGACTTACAACTGCAGCCAAAGACTTCAGGGCTTGGCAAAGCAGGGGCTCTCACAGCTTGCTGCGACAGGAGTCTGACAAGGTATTCGAGAGGAGTCGGGAATTCCTCAACATCCATAATAACGAACATCTGCTCTTCCACACAAACAAGCAATACCTCTCTCTGTAAGAAACCAGAGATGTTCTCATATCTGCAGCTTTGAGTCTGCACTCAGGCACACGCTGCCAGTTAAAAACGTTATTCCTCCCCTGTCCTTTAGCTTTGGGGTATAAGTTGCACAGACACCAGCCCCTGTCCCAGCACTGATGCAGCGAGGGATGGCACACAGCATCCCTCCTAATGGAGGAACAGATTTTGCAAGGGCTCCACAGCCAATGACAGGCAGCTGCACTACTCATTAATTTACACAGATACACCTTTCTGGTTCTCACCCCTTCATCTGTAGCTGGAAACTTGGTGTAATGTTTGTGGTCTAAAGCCTTTGCTAGCCCTGCAAACTGAGCTGTGGTTGGGGGGAGCTGGCTGGGAGGCAGTTTTGTAGAGCGTGGCTGACCGATGTGTTTCCTTGAGGCCAACACTTCCAAAGCAAGCCACAGAATGACTCTGAAAAAGGTATCAGAAGGAAGTTTTACAGACGTTACCTCTCTCCTGGCAATTTCCCTTGGTATATTTGGGCTTTGTACCTTTAGGCTGAAATACAGACTGCAACATGGCAAATATCAGAAGCATAAATAAATTGTGGCACCGTATGAGTTTCCTGTTTTGAGATATCCTTACAGTGTACATACGTGTGTTGTAGGTGTGTACAAATATGGTTGCAAAGAACAGGTCTGTCGTGTTTTGGTGCAGAAAAAACTGCTGGGAAAATCTGAAATGCTCTCTCAGAACAACTTTTTATTCCTTGGTCTTGTACATGAAGTAGGCACGCGATGCTGAACAGAGGGGTTAGTAAACTGAATGCTTGCTGTGTTCTTCATACAGCTAAGCACCTCATTCATTTACTAATTTGTTTATTCCTTTAGATATGATGTATTGATAAAGTTCAGTAAGGCAAAATGATAGATTGAGGATAGATAGATAGAGGTTCTTCACCACCACTTCGTAATCAATTGATACGTATTGCAGTTGCAAAGTAATTGCAGTATTACTGCTATAACTGTTGCTACAAACCATCCAAAGTAATGTATGATAAACATTAGTAGGGGGACAAACACTAGTGGAAATCAGAAGATCAGCCATAATTGTACTTTTAATGCAGCCTTTATGTAAGAAAGTAGAAAGCCTGAGCTGGTTTCTCAATTAGGTGACTTTAAAAAGACATTGCCTGTGGTTGCCTTGTTCTCCAGATAAGGAGAATATTTTAGGCTCCAGCTCTGCCCATAATGATGCCATTTCAAAAAGCAATACAAACATTAAAAAAAAAACCCAAAAACCGAGAAAGAAGCAGAGTCTTAGGCATTCTTGGCTTCATTACATTCCTGTGTTCATTCATCTCCATTTCAACTGTAAAGCAATAAGTGAGCTGATTGAGGAAGGCTAACAAGCCAGATCAGAGAGAAACATATTTGGAAGTTTAAAAAACCCAAGTAACTTGACACATGTTTGTTTCCTGCAGTAACTCACCAGTTAAAGCAGACACAGCAAAATACTGTGGGGAAGTCCTGAATCAAAATTCAGGAACTAATCTAAAGTTAAATGTTGCATCCTATTTCTAATATAGGTCAAACTAAGCATCTGATATTTGCAGGCACAAACAAAAAACTGCACTGGTGTAGCAGACAACAATAAAAGCATAAAAATCAAAGTAATTAATAGCCACTAGCATTAATTGCTGCATGATATCAACAGAATATTTTTGAATGTATTTCAGACACATGCAATCTCAAAAATAGATCTACAGTATGACAAAGGTACATGTTCATTAGGGAAATAAAAAAAAGCAATCTTCCTTACCTGCTATTGCTTCAAGACTAGGGATTGCAATAGTGCTGTAAGTGCTAGTACATTTACAGGACCACGTGTGAACTAAAGTTTCCTCTGCATTTTCCAGGCCAGGCAATTTGTCCACAAAGAAAGAGCCCCACTGTTTAGATACAAAGTAAGGAGCTTCAGGCTGATCTTCCTGAAAGAAAAATAAACAAATATGTACTCTTAAAAAAAAAAGACATTTTTTTTTCTGTATACAACCACAAGCATTAGTTGAATGAACTCTAGGGTTTCTCTCATTTTCTGGGAAAACTGTGTTGTATCTCAGGAGCAATGTGACTTTAAAATTTTATAAACAAAACCAATAACAATCTGCTTCCCATAAATCCCCAAGCTGCTCTTTATGCAATTTATGATTCCCTAGGACATAAAAAGTTGTTTTACATATTTTTCCTTTAAAAAAAATCTTTTCCCCATTTTTCTGTTTTCGATAGTGTGAACAGCCTGCTGCCTTTCTCTGCTGGAGAAGCTGGGTAGCTGCAGCACAGACCGTAAACCAGCCTGGAACTTCTCCTGGGAGAAAGGAGTCTTCGGTGCTGGATGGAGTAACTGCGAAGGATGATGCATCAAGCCACCTGTGTTATGTTATCTGTTTCTGAGCTGAAATGAGAACAGAGCCACAGGATCCATGGAGAGCCATTCAGCTACCTAGGAAATTGTGAAAATTTGACTTTTTTTGTGTATATTTTCAGACAACATCATGTAGACTCACTATGTTTTAAAGAAAGCATTATAGCAGCATTGGGAAAACTGATTTTTTTAGCAGTTCATCTTGAAACCTGATAGATATTGCCATAAGCAGCCAGAAAAAGCTCCAGGAGGCCTCTACAGAAAGATGAAAAAATGGAAAACAAAACTGTGAATGACACTATAGAAAATCTGTTAAAGTAATTTGTGTGCAAAGTATCTTTTCAGACCAGCAAAGCACAGAAGAAAAGATATCCTAGTGTGTGCCTCTAGATCCATGAACTTTTGTACTTTTATTTTCCATTTAAACCTCTTATTTGTCGAGTTTTGAGAACCTGCTGGAATAATTCATGTTTATGACAGAGGTCCATGGCTTTTGATCACAAGAAAGCTGTTGATCCAGCCAAACAGACCACATCAATAAACACAGAGCCATTCTTTTTGTGATTCTACGTAACAGTTTTTTCTCTGAGCATGGGGGTGGGGAGGAAGTATTGATTTGGACAAATGTAGATATTAGTGCTCTTATGTAAACAGGCTGCAAAAAACCCCCATATCTTTTGTTTCAAAACAAGCAGTTAAGAGCTGGGCTCTTTTGTGGGTTTTTTTGGTTTTGTTTTTTGTTTTTGTTTTTTTTTCCCCCCTCAGACACAGGGACAGCATCTTACTTTTTTATTTTTTTTTTTTAACCAATCTTTATCTTTCCATGCAAATTCCAGGACTTGACATAAGTTATAATTAAATGTAGATGCTATGCTGAATTTAAATCTGTTTGCCACCTGGATGACACATGCAGAAAACTCTCAAGGCCATTACAGCTCTTCAGGTGATTAATCAAAACAACCACCCCAGTACTGGCCCACATAAGTACCCACACAACAAACGGAGCCTTGTTTATTGACAATAGAAAAAAGCTGAGGCTTTTGCTTTTTGAAATGTATGATTGGTTCAACAGGCAATTAAAATTGCAGTCTGAAGAAATGAATAGATTTTTTTCAGAGGTCTGGTTCTCAGTGTGGGAATTCCTTCCTTATTAAGGACGAGGGAGTGACATTTTGGATTTACAGCCCAAACCCAGTTAGATATGAAAGTTGCCATCAAGTCACCTGGTAGAGAACTTCCAACATTTTGCTATTGGCTTATCTCCTCCATGTGACAGGGGCAGTTTAGTAGGCTAAAACTGGATCTCAAATCTGAAATGAGCTGTCAAAAGTTCACCTGCATCCTTAAGAACCCTCAGACATCACTCAGCCTGCCATCCCTAACTGATGCCAAGAAGATACCCAAATCTCATCTGCAGCATACATAGCCTGCAACGAAGGACAGACCACATACCATGAATCTATACATTGGTGGAATGAGGCAAAAGTCCCCTGTTATCATTGCTACTCCTCACATGCCTGGAGGCACACATTTTAACAGGGCGGCCGAGGAACTCTGGAAGGTACACCAGATACTCCTGTAGACCCCAGACATGGAGTTTGCTCTTGCAGGAGGACAGCAGATCCTGGGATGTGCTGAACAATCCCTCATTTGTATGCAAAACCCCCAAGCATGTGTTTTTTCTCTCAGGCATATACTGGTCAGACAGTAGCAGGTCAGATGTTGATTTTGTCAGCTGAAGGTACAAAGCCTCAAAGAGTAGGTCTAGATGGTACCAGCATTCCCCAAGTCCCAGGGCCCTCCACTAAGTTAAACCACCTGGAATACTTACTATCACCTTTGCTTTATTAACTGCAGACAAATAGGGCCTGTTAACAGAGCAGGCAGAATCTGCTAATAGGACCCTTGGGTAACACTGATTTGTCACCTTACAAATGACCTTTCTAAAATACAAATAGGCAGGGAGCTGAGCTCTGAAGTTTTTTTTACATTCGGTAAAGAGATGAAAAAAAGAAGGATGTAAAGGAGAGAGGAGTGAAAAATCAAGCTATTAATATTTTTAAAGGCGTTATTTAGATGGAAATTTGCCACCTATGCCATCGTCTTTGTACCATGCACAGAGTACTAGGATTACTTTACTGCATCCAATGTGATGGATGGTGCTGATGGCTGTATGCTTTGTGCCCAGGTAGTAAGGCCACCACAGACTCTCTTAGAAAAAAATCAATGCTCAAAATACAGTTTTGCCGGTATCACAGCAAGTATTTGAGACGTTTCTGCCAGCATGGCTGTGCTGGTCACAACAACCAGATGTCCCTGAATAACACAGCCATTGCTGGGTGCGCAGATGGGCAAGCCTGCCACTGGTTTAACTTTTGCACACAACCTGCCCCCCACAAGTCACATACAAGTATAAAACATTTCACCCATGATCATTGTACCTAAACCACAACATAGATCACTATAAGCAGACCTTAATATAAAATGCATTTCACTTCAGGATAGTGCTTTAAGGATTTAACCCACGAGACTTCACAACAGCCCATCAGGTTGTTTCTGAAAGTACTGATAGGTTTGTTGATAAAGATAAATGGGAATAAAGAGACAAACAGAGCCAAAAGGCACAGAGTAATTAGTCTTGTCTATGGTTACAGCAAGGGAGTCCCAGAAATTCAGTGGGTTAAGGGGCCTGACATCCCCCAACCAGCCAGCCACTAAGCAGTACTGTAAAAATTAGTTCTTCCTTCTAACCGCAAAACTATCATCTATATCCACCAATAAATTCTTTGATTTCTGCTCCATTCATTCCTATAGCCCAACGTTTTTACACACTGTCTAGCTCCTCTGTAATAATTTCCCTCGAAATCCTGGGACAAATTCCAGCTTTTTCATTGGTGGAATTGATCATACATTTAAAGAACAGAAGGCAAAAACAAAGCCTCCAGCCAAGCAAACAAACCCCTAAATCTGAGGGGAATCTTGTTTCAACACAATGCTTGGTATTTTTTTTCCTCCTGCATGCTGCAATACACTTAGGAGCTGAGTAATTGCATGAATAGTTTTTAGTTTGCTATTCTTTTGCTCATTTGGTTATGACTCATATACTTGAAAGAACTGCTGTTTTTACCATAATTTCACAGTGATGTGTATCTGGCTTATATTATGCATTTAATTGAAGGGAAAAGACAAAAACTGCTAATGAAAATGTAAATTACTAGTCTCCCAGTTTTTGTGTGAGGAAGTTGTTTTCTTTCCCTCTCTCTGTTAGTGATGAAATACCAAACAACTGAAAACAGGGTTTTATAATTTCTTTTTGAAAGATGCAATTGCAAATTAGAAGTAATACTTTATTTCTTTCATAATATTTTGTAAAGATTGATAGAAGGGAGGATTGCATCTTGTATTAAATTTTCAGTCCCTCTCTGCAGACACAGCATGGCACAGAAAATCTGCAATAGTAGTGTATTTTTTTTTTATTGACAACGAATGATAAGGCTGATGAACAAGACTAAATCTAACCTGTTATTACCTAATTTTCCAAAACACTTGACTTTGTACAATCCTTTGAATTGGCTTTTCTCTTCTCTTAACCAAAGAGTTTATAGGAGAAGTTGAGTAGGGGAATGAAAACAAAACTTTCATAGGCTTGTAAAGGGAGTCCCTTTGAACCAGTCTTGTTAAGTTAGTGGTGTCCAGTCAACTGCAGAGATATGGATGTGACCTGTTGTTCAGACTCCAGTGAGCAGCGTGGTAATGAAATAACACCACTGACCTGCTATGGCCCCCCTGGTTCAGGTTCTTTTAATCAAGGCAATTCATTTCTCCCTTGCTTGCTTGCTGTCACTGGTAGCGGATGTAAACCGAACAGGGGATGTGTGCGGCAGAGGTGGTGTCGCCCTGAGATACTGCAATCTCTTATCAGGAATACTACAGTGTCAGTGAAATGTCAAACACCTGTCTAAAAGTCTCAGTTTCCTGCTTGATAACTGCAGTGACAGAGAAGATGGATCTTGTGAGCAGTTGACCAGAGGTATTGCAACAAGAAATAACCAAATCATCATCATCAAGGGCTTAGAAACATATCACTCAATAACTCTTTCTTTGTACTTCCAGGAGAAGAAACACTTTTTGGCTCTCTGTTTAAAAATGTGTGCTTCAAAAGCATACATTGAACATGCTTAAGAAACTGTTGAATAAAAAAACCTGAACGATACAGAGATGTACGTTCTATGCAGATATGCAGCAGAGTCTCCAACCAGTGAATGAACAAATTCATGGAGGAGAATGAGTTCTTTTTATAGCATTAACTAAATAAATAAAATTACATTAACCTATGTAATGCTACTACTCATTCTTCCTTTGCCCCTTCCCCTTTTCTTTATTGAGAAACAAATTTTTCTTGATAGGAGACTTGAGTTTGTCTTCATTTCTGTTTTTCTACAACCCAGGAAAAAGCTTAAACATTAATGATTACATTTCCTTATTTCATTGACTGAAATATCCTTGTCTGACCTTAGTTTAGAAATTAGGATAGTGGGGGAAAATATTAGATACATCTATTAAAAAAGCAGAGGAACAGATGTCACATCCATATTGTTTTAGTCACATTGAAGTTATCTATCCTTTTTTCAGTAAAAAGCAGGGGCTTTTAAAACGCTTCTGAGTCAGATAAAAAATCTCTCTAGTATAAAAGCACTCCACAAAAATCTTCTTATCAGTAAGTTACCTTTTTAGTCACAAAGAATAATGATTAAAAAAGAAAAAAAAAAGTTAAGTGCTTTTCAAAACAAAAAGCATAAATATATGTATGTATATGCAATTAGAAGAAAACGAACTATTTATTTAGGGACATAAGAAAAGCAAAACCACTCCAAATGAAGAGTGAAGCTGCACTTAGTTCCCACATAGGACACGCTGGAGGTACAATGCTGACGCCTCATCCATCTGAGCACTGTTCCCTATGTACTTCGTTCTGCAGCAGTGGAGAGAAGAACCACAGTAACCTTCCAACTTCTGTGGGAGAATTGAAGTGTGGCAGTCATGCTAAGGCTCCTGCTTCCCAGCTGCGATCAACCTGAAAATCACGTTATCTATCTGAGACAACCATCAGCAGTCTGCATTGGACCAGACTTCGAAACAGTCCCTCTCATCTGAGCACAGCTGTCACCGGAATAAACAACCTAGAAGGGAAGCTGCAAATTAAAAGTTCTTTGTATATAAGGAAAGCACAAGCAAACTGTATTTCACAGAGAGAGAAACAGAGCTTTAAACAACCTAATAAAAATTCCCCAATGTTTACTGTTGGCCATGACATGCAGGGAAATGTCATGAACTCGGCAGAGTTCAGGTGCTGGGCTTGTGATAAGCGGCCACTAAATTTCTCCTTGTAGGATACAGGGCAGGTTCTCGTTACCGAAAAGAAGACTATGTTTTTTGATTAAGGGACTGCACATACAGCTCTTTTTTTCTGAGGTCTGTGATTTAGCTCTGGGTGCAGGCTCTGCGTCACCCAAGCAATGCCAAGCTGGGACAGGACGGCACCTCCTGGTGCGGCAAGGAGGGTGCTTCTGTGAGGGATGCTGATGCTGCCAGCAGCCTGGTAAGATAAGCAGGCTCATTCTCAGCGCAGGTGGCATGAGGCTTTTTTGTAACTTACTTTCTCTTGTTCCAGGAAACATCTGCAAGGAACCCTTACCTCATATTTTCCTTTCTTCTCCAAGGGCTCAGATTCAGTCTCTGCAGGCACCATAACTTTGTCCCCTAGAAGCTCCTCTAAGATGAAGACAGTTTCCCAGTTGCTATAGTGATGAGCTGGAAAAATATCTGAGTGCATGCTGTCACCAAAATAAACAACCTACAAGGGAAGAAGCAAATTAAAAGTTCATTGTATATGCAGAAAACACAAGCAAACTGTATGTCACAGAGAGAGAAAAAGAGGTTTAAAACAACCTAATAAAAATTCCTCCACATTGAAGTTGACCATGACACGCACAGATCTCATGAATGTCACAGTTTGGAGTTTTATCTTCAACCAGCTCCATAAGGAGAAGGCTGGCCCTGCACACCCTCCTCACCCTCACCCTCCAGGGGCATTGGAAGGGGATGTCCAGCTGGGACTGGCACATGGGACACTGCTGAGATTTTGACTGACAGAAATAGCCTGCCAGGAAGCAGTGGAAAACACTACCAAGAAAATGCACTAAACAACGAGAATGAATTTTGGACAACTTTGGAGACAAGGAAGAACACAGAGTGTGACTTGGTGACCCAGAACTCTTCTGTGCCCAGGGGGTAGTTTACCCACTAGGGAAAATATGGTCCCACCATCTTCAGTGGCATTTTCACCCATCCAGACCTGTAATTAAAATAACATGATCCTAGTTTTCACTGATACCACCTTTTAATCTATTTGATCAGTGTCCTCAGGGAGATTGTTTACTTCCTGATTAGAATAATTCTTCTCAAAGCTGCCAAAACGAATGACCATGCACACAGAATAAAACACCTAGAAAGTCTACATGTTCTACCAGTAAGAAGACTAATATAGTACTTCCAGTTCTGGACTGCAGTCTGTTAGACAAGAGCAAGCATAACCAGAAGAAAAATTTGTGACTGATCACATCAATAACTTTAAGGAAAGCTTGTCTGGTGAATTTTAGACTGAAACAAGGTATTTTCAGAAATATTTACTCTCACTTATAACATACCTTGGGATCCAACTTGCCAGTCATCTTCTTCAGTAGTTCATAAAGCTGGATAGCATTACCTTGGGAATACCAGCCGGGCTTGTCCAGTGACAGCAGAGCCTCCTGCTCCTCGTCATTCTCTGAAATCACCAAGCAAAATTGCCTGCTCTTAGTGAGAGCAGCCCATGCTCCTGTGTTCATGAGACATGTGAGAAGCTGCCTGTGCACAGCTTGGAGATCACAGTCTATTTTGACATTAAACCAGCTCTGGTGTCTGGCTCAAGTCCTGGTGCTGACTGTGGGTTCAGTCAAGGTGTTTGGTAGCTGGGGGTAGGCAGACATTTGTGAGAAAAGAAGTAGCTGAGCCTCATCTGCGAGGGCTACAGAAGAGCCGAGGAACCAAAGTCATAGGCTCTGCCTCCCAAACACTGCAGCAGTGAAGGCAGGAAACCACACGGACCAGACTGATGGAGGAGCTGCTACAGATCTAAGGTGGAGCCATGAGATGACAGCCTGTAAGAGACAGCATGTACCATTCCCCACAGACAGATTACCTACTGCTTTTAAACACTGACATAAATACAACAAAAGAGATGGAGGTAACTCTTATGGGTATTCACCAGCCTTAGACCAGCACAAGCAATGAGCAGTTCCAGCTGCCATCCAGTTTTGAAGGAATTATGAGCAGACAATATTGCTACTGGTGGTGTAATCCACACTGGCATATATCCACACTGGCAGCTGTCAGTGAACCAGAAAAATCAGCAGAAGCTGAAACTCCCTGGTTATCACCTAAATGTGCCATAGGCTTCATTTCTAGTTGGTCCCAAAGCAGCTGGATCTGTCCTGGTGTCCGTGTAACCTTCCTGCTCATTCAGATACATGTGCTATGGCCAGATGAATTCCTTTTAGCTTCTTGCTGAAGCCTTAGTGAAAAAATAAACTCAAATTTCATCAGAAGTATTAATATTAATGTCTTCTGTCTATTGAAGTGGTTAAACAAAAAGGCAACTTTGTTATCCAGTCTCAATCAAATATATCTTATTTTTTATGCTAGAGGCTTAGAAGCCAATACAGTACTTTCATTTGACTTAGGTGGAACATCAGGACTTTAGGTTTCCTCCTGCTTTATAGAATTTCTTGAAGTACTTAAAATGTGTTATGAAGAAGACTGAGACAAGAGAGCAAAGAGACATGGCTAGAGACTGCTAAAAGCTGAAATGCAAATTTTGGAAGAACAGGGAAATAACAAGAGAGCTTTATGTTTAAGAGCACTCAAGATGTACAGGTCACAGTACATTGGTCCCTGAAGGAAGGAAAAAAAGAAGCAAAAAGAGGGAAATAGGTATGTGGGGAGAGGGAGTAAATAATTCTTTAATACTATGAATCTAAGAATTTGAATAAACACAGGATTCATTCTCATACAAACCGATTCTATATTAAGGGTGTTTTATAAACAAGAAAAAAACAAGGAAATTCAAAGTTGACACTAACAATTCATGTACAACTTGTGTGGAAATGTCTTCTCCTTTGATCTTTTTCAGAAGCCTAATAATAATAAGTATGATAGTATCCATTAAAAAATCTCCTTCATTTCCTGGCTTTTAAAACACTTTTGACCAAGCAACTTTTGGTCAAACAGAAGTTGTCAAACTTCATCAAATTTGTTTTATTTTCCCTGTATTTTCAGACACATTTGTAAGGCTGGCTAAATGAGTAGAAGCAATCTTCAAACAATACAGACAGAAAAAGAAACTTATGAAAATAACTCTTTTGAGCTGCTATCAAAAGCTTCTTGAAATTTGTGAAGGTTTGTATAGCTATGATTGTCTCTCTGTTCAGTCAATCAGGAGAATACTAGAGAGAAATTATGAGCTATTATGAGAGGGATTTTCAGAATAACAACATAGCATTTGCGAACAGGAGCCCTATGGACTGCAGCAGCAGCACCAGAAGGCTCCTGCATTGCTACGTCTATGGAAAGGCATGAGGGCCAGCCCCCACTGAAAAAATTCACACTAATTACAAGGTAGAAGATCTCTCACTCTGTGAGATCTATTACTGTCAACCCTAGCAATGGGATTCATCTCACTTAACTCGATGCATCCGGAATTTAGGCTTCTAATTTACAGTTACAATCTGAAGTAGTTGGCCAAGCTTCCTTGGTAGACAAAAGAGAGTGCAAGAAGCACTTTCTAGAGGTGTCACCTCTGGAGAAGGAAAGGATTTAATTAAGATAGGAACTTCGCTTTTAGGCAATATATGAAGGGAAATTTCGGAGCCTGGTTTCCTCCTCTACACTTGGAGGCAGCAAACAGCATTGAGATGTCCAACTCATCACAGGAACACCTTGATTTTGGAAGGAGCTTCAGAAATTTGAGGAATTAGGAAAGGCCCTTTATAATATTTGAGTTCTAGGGTTATAGGGATAATGAATCTGAACTGGCAAACTTTGCCTTGAACCATCTCATATGGCTGCTTGTGCTCACACATCTGGGGGTGACTGTGTCAATCCTATTTCTGTAATCTGAAGTGGGAGGCAATTAATGGTGTTTCAGTCGCAGTAAGTCATTAATGAGAAGGTTTTCTAATCCACTTACACTTCCCACTGTGGCAAAATATAATCAAGAAAACTATTCTTCGGCTCTGGCTGTTAAGACCTCTTGTAGTAGTTCTGCCATGTAAAAACAGATACACAACAACTTAAAAATCCATTAATGACACCATTGGCTCTAGCATTGTAATGTACCCTTCAGATAGCAGCTACATGACAGCGCTGAAGAGATCTGCAAATCTCCTGCAAAAATGCTGCATAAATGTGATTATGATAGCTCTTAATATATTTTAGATATTCCATGCCTAACATTGCTACACTTAGACCAGAGGAAAACTGCTGCTGACCTTCCTTCCACTTCGCTGTTATTGATTTGTAAAAGTTCATTCAAAGGTCAGAAATGCTATAAATATTCCTTCATTTTCAACACATATATAGGCGGGGATGCTAATGCTTCAGGTTTTATAAGCTGGGAGGGAAAAAAGATGTCCCAAAAATTTCAAACAGACAGGATAACCAAAAAGAATTTCTCAGATGATTTAGATAGAGGGACTTGCTTCCTTCTGAAGTCTAATGTATCACTTCAACCTGGATTCCTGGCTGTAAACTGAAAATGTGCCATGACAAGAAACGTAAAAGTAGCAAGCAAGTAGAATTAAAATAATTAAACCCAGAAAATCATTCTATTCAAACACTCACCCAAACCTCAATGGTGATTCAGAGCAAATTTCCTGAGGGGAAGTTACTGTTCCTTTTTAAAAACAGCAACAAAAGCTTGACCCATGCTGGGGCAATATTAATATAGCTGGAATGGAAATTTGCATATTGCTGTGTCTAACAGCTTGGGAAAGGTTTTCTGATTCAGAAATGTGCTCCCATCACCATTAGCAGATATGTTTTTTCAGATAAACCAATTCACTAACAAGACTCAATATCCTTTTTCTTGTGAGAATTTTCTTGCCTGCCTTTAAATGTGAGTTGCAGGTTTATAACATGGGCTGAGGAACCATCTGGTTTCATTCTGAATGCATATGCAAAAAGTAATCAGTGAAGCTTATTTCCCATTTAAATGACAACTGTTGTTCATTTACTTTGGCACAGAGTCGGTCCTTAGGAAAGATGCTGCACATGCTTGCTTACTGCCGTCTGCTTTGCTATCTGTTTATGGGTTATACCTGCCGAGATGGAAACCTGAACACGTGCAGTGCTGAGGTTGTGTCCACACTAAATGTTCAGCTCAGGGTCTGAAGCTGGAGCTCCATCATTAAGCTGGAGCTCTGTCCTTAAGCTGGCTGGCCTTTACACTGCTAAACCCCAGCCCACGGGATGTCGGGGCTCTCGTTTGGGAAGCCTGAGGTTAAGAGAGAAGCTAAGAGGTAAGGGCAAATTTACGCTCCAACAGTTATCCACCTATACTCAGACACACCTACAATCAATGCTAATTTTCAGCAGCTCACCGCCCCCGAGGCCACCACCCCGTGCTGCTCCCTGGCTGGTGCCCCACAGCGAGGGCTGGGTACGTGCCGGGGCAGGACCATGGGTGACTCACCCGAGAGCCCAAGGACACCTCACGCCTACGTGGCTGGGCAGAGACGGGGGTAAGAAAGCAAATTCAAGTGCCTGGAGGCCATACCAGCCAAAGACGTGCTGGGTGTCACTGCAGTGTGCATGCAGCTCCCCACAGTCCTTTCTTCTGCCTTCCCCTCTTTTTCCTGATAGCCCACTACTCATTTACATACAGTTCTAGTTAGACCGGCTGTTAGGATTACCGATATTTTTTGTTCCTTTGAAGGGTGCAATGGAATAAAAACACAAGGTGACTGTCACTGCTTGTCCCTGTATCTGCTCCTGCCTCATCCTACCCATAGGCAGCCTTCGTGGGCGCTCACCGCAGGCCGGCATTTGTGTTTGGCGTGCTGGAGCCCTGGTTACTGCCTCAGGGGGCTATTGTAAAACAAGTACATTTTATGATCCACAACTATCATACTGATATGCCTCTCTGCAATTTAAAAGTAATTAAGAAACATAAACTCTCTGTTCCAGAAGGGGACCTGGGGCAGGAAAGCACATTGTTTTACAGTTGAGACAAAGGGACCTGCATAAGTAAAATCCTTCTGGTGGCTTCTTCCAGTTGTAGAGGTAATGAGATGGGATGACATCAGCTGTGGAGTTCCCCTGTGGGCGTGCTCTCCATGGAGAAGGCATGTACTTACAAGCTTACTGGGGGTAAAACTTCATACCCTACGGGCACCCTTCTGTAGGGTAGCAACCCAAATTCCTATGTATACATCAACCACTTTTGCTGGGTGTTTCCAGGATTCACGGAAATATTACTGTGTGTTTTGCCATCCCAGAATTACTTCTCTGCCCTGGAAGCAGCTGTGAAATCCATCTGCCAGACACACGCACCAGCACTTGCCAGTCTTCTGTCTGACTGGATGACTGCAGGAAAGTGATAAGGAACAAATGATTACCTTAGTGTGATGTGCTGAAATAAAAGGTTAAGGCTTTCCAAAGTGACTAGTGATTTTGGCCATCTCCATTTTTGGCTGTCCAATATGATATTTTTCAGAAAAAGCCTGAAGA